CATACCTTCTTTATGGGCCAACCTACCTTCTTAAAGGCCCATCAAACTTCTTTGATGCTTCGGCAGGCTTACTTGGTTGTGGCTGATGAACAACCAATATTGTCTTTTTATTGTGGCTGATAGACCCTTGAAGGAATTTGTTTCTAGCTCAGAAACTGTCGAAACATTTCTTGTGGTGACTGACGGACTATTGAAAAAAAGCTTTATGTTGCCCTTGTGATACCATCATCGACAGATCTCGAAAACATCAAAAGGCTGATTGTGCTTCTCACGACATCTTTGGGTGGTGGGAAGAACCTGACTATTTTCAGGAAGTTTCAACAGTGTCCGAGAGGAGGTGTCAAGGATCTCACGTCGTCGCGAATGCATTAATTACATTCAGTGTGAAAAGATGCCAGCAGCGTAGCTCGAGAACGGAGTCTCCAATCTGCAATAATCCGCCTTAAGAATTGTTCCAATGGTACTCGAAAGGTTATAAAGGTACCTTCTTGCAGACTCTGTAGGTTTTTAGCAACTATAATTTTGATTTAAATTGTGTTTTAGTCGGTCGGTAAAACAATTTGTTGATCCGCTTTCCATGTCAAGTAGGTCATGTTTATGATCTAAGTGGCAGAGAATGTGCCGAAAAACTCACCTTGATTTATAAAAATTTATTCAATAGACGGACGTGCACTCTGAACTAAATTTTTTCGGAGAAAACCTTTACAAAGCCACGAATGCGGTAATCCGAGATTTACCGCATTCTCGGACCCACGAGGCTTAGTGTAGAGCACGCTGTCGCACGACGCCGGCATGCACAGCATGTACAGTGTGTCACAGAAGAAAATTTACGCAATCCTTTTTACCGCGAAAATAAACTAGGCATCGCCGAACGCTCATTCTCCGCCTAAAGGTAGCCCTAGAGGTCACAACCAGATGCCAAAGTTTCAGCCCGATCCGGTAACTTCATCAAAAGTTATAAGTGATTATCTGAATATTTCAATGGGAAAACGGCGGCCTACGAAGTTTTCGAACACATGGGGCTCTATGGCACCAGATACCGAAAAAGGGCGAAAATGGGCTCCATTTTCCAATTGAAAATTTCAGAACATCACTTATAACTTTTGATTAAGTTATCGAATCGGGCTGAAACTTTGGCTTCTGGTTGTGACCTCTAGCGCTACCTTTGGCCGGAGAATGAGCGTTCGGCGATGCCTAGTTTATTTTTGCGGTAAAAGAGACCATATAAATTTTCTTTTGTGACACCCTGTACGTGGAAACAGGGTGTCGACAACCGCTAAGCGGACACCGCCACCTTTGTGAGTTTCGAAAGTAGCGAGTGCATTGTGCGCATTCCCGCTTCGGTTTCGTTTTTGCAGTTTTGTAATTCAACGTTCAATCATTTATATCTAGAACTGATATCATTACATTGCCAAAATTCAAGCTTTGCTTTCATATTTATATAAGGAGTATAGAAGGTATCCTTAAGCTTTGTATATTACGTTGTGAAATGTTAATAGGCACACAATAAAGTTTATATTTGTCTGTAATGCAACATTTATCTTCTGCCTGTACATATGTGTGATAAGAAATGCATAGCAGCCATTAGACCAACAGACCATCAAACCTTTAGGTCATCGGATATCCCAAAATACCATGGACCATCAGACCATCACACTGTAGAATTTATTCATTACACCATCAAACCTTTAGAGCGACAAAGCATCAGACCATTAATGTTCCAAAATACGACAGATCATCAGAAATGTTTATAGTACTTTCCTATAGAAGAAAACTAACTCTAAATCTTCTGCGCAATGACTGTTTTGAAGCGTTCGAAAATTCATGACGTGCGGGGTTCAATTGAGTGGATCCTGCTTATGTCTATCTCTTTTCCTTTAATCGCACGTATTATTTCTGCATTGCAATGGAAAGGGTATAGCTATACATCGCGTAAAAGATCCTTTTTTTTTTAAATGCGTAAGAAATGCATAAACTATATTTTTAACTTAGAAGACAAGACTACCCCTTAAAAGAGAAACCAAAATATAATCGCTAACAGAGAATAGTTGCTATGCAAGAAAGATCTACGCCTGTTATCTTAGAGAAAAAAAAGACGATAAGCATGATCACAAACTTCTGACATAAAACACTCAAACTTTGATTCCACCTTCGGGGTTCCAGAATGAACGGACTTGCTTCAATACCTGCCAGTCTATGATGCATAGTGTGTAATCTTAAAGGGACACGGGCGGGTCAAAATATTTTTTTTATTATCCAAAACAATTAAAAACGGTGCCTGGACATTACCCTCAAATTTTGAATCTTGGAAACTCAGTATTTGTGAAGTGAAAAAACTATTTTAAAAGCAGAATTTGAAGTACGCGCGCGGTCCGCGTCAGGGCAGTGACGTCAAAGTTTGAGTCGCCTTGCAACTCTAGTTTTTCTCCCGTTTTCGAAGCGTCCCGACCGGAAGTGTTGTGTTCGCCCGCCATCAACCGCGCTCTCCCTACTTGCCGCGTATTGCTGTGAGCAGACGATACTTCACCTTCAAGTTAGAATTTCTTTTCGTGCCCTTTCAGCGATCTCAAAGTCTTTGAAATGGCGCAAAGTTGAAGAGAACGTGGAGTGGACATTTGTGACCGGCATGAGGGGCTAGGTTGTGCCGTTTCTGCCTGAAAGGCTGCCCCGACAGAGTCACGACCGGAACAATGGTGCACGGACGCAAAACCCAGTTGTTTTGACCGTTTGACGATTTCCTTTTCGAAGTTTGACATTTCGTCGGGCACCGAAAAAAGAACTTCGCCTGATTCACCGACTTTCGGTCATCCTCAGTGCTACATGTACACTCTCCGGCAATATGAAAGACCCAATGAATATGCGGGGGCGCTGCGACAATGGCGGGGGCGCTGCGAGCGCTCCGGGCAATTCCATTCTGCTTCGAGGAAAGGTCGCTCACTTGAGCTCAGCTAAAGCGAAACGCGCTTATCACTTTGTGCTGAGCCCCGAGTGAGCGCCCTCCCCTCGAAGCAGAATGGAATTGCCCGGAGCGCTCGCAGCGCCCCCGCCTGCCACCACCTCGGCCACGCGCTCCCAGTGGGTCTTTCATATTGCCGGAGACTGTACCTAGCGCCGCCATAATTTTCAAAAAAGCATAAAAAGCCACGATACCATATTACTTCTCGACTCCGACTTTCGGTGTTTCAAAAAGATGGCAGTATATGTTTGCTATTGCGTTAAAAAAATTTAAAAAAAAACATGTTTTACGAATAATGTATTGAAGTATTATAAAAATGTCGCTTAGAAAGCTTCTGAATTTATTATTGATAACGACACGAATCGATAGAAGCGAGGAGGTGAGAAGAGGGGGAGAAGGGCACAAAATGTTAAAAGGAGTGCGCGCACCTTGTGAAATTGGTTTTCGTGTTCTTGTTTTTTTTTTTTTTTTGCGTGGATATAACTACAACTTGCACCGTTTTAGGCAACAAAAATACAAACCTTGGGGAGTAATTTCTTTTTTAAAAGGCACTCACACCCCCAAAATGTGTTGCTATTTTTTGTCTCGCGATTAATTCTCGTGTAAGAAGACGACCCAATGAATATTTTGCCACAGAGTCACATATATTGTTAAAAAAGCAAAAAAAGAAACGCACTGATCGAAACCGAAATAGAAACTGGACTGGGGAGGAAGAAAAAATAGAGAGAATGAAAGAATTGGCAGAAATCACGCAAATGTGCAATAAGGTTTGTTTTTGGTTTTTTTTTTTTTGTTTTTTTTCTTGGAATCACCGAATTTTAGGTATTTTAGAGGCCACAAAAAATGTGTATCATGTTTATTTTCTATTTATAATATGGTGTGTGTACCTTCGATGACCAACGACTCTGAATGCGTATGGCGATTTTGTTTAAATCATAGAAAACGGCACGTGACCACGGAGAAGTGTAAGAGCGCGGCATAAACCGGCCAGCTTTGAATCGACGGTTTTCAGGAGGAAAGAAAACGAATTTCGAGGCGCAAATTGTTTTCTGGGTAGTGACGCCCTCAGATATCATGCACAAACAAACCTTTGGTCACCACAAACATCTTGTCAGTTTCCTTTTAAGCACTTCACCTTGCGCGTACATGAGAATCAAACTACATTTTTATTTCAGTTAAACTCAATATAGTTATTTCCTTGAAACAGCAGTGCAATATTTTTAAGATTATTGAACCTATGTTCGACATCCTAGGCGGATCCCATAGAACACGTGTATCTTAGACTTCACCAGTGTCATCTTGTGATAATTCTAATAAATATTTCAGAAGAAAAAACTCAAGATATTTTATGTTTCTACCCTCTTAAGGAAGGCAATTTTCCGTAATTCTGAGTGGGCCGGTGTTATATAAAAAAGACTCTCTCTTTGGTATATGCCGATGGCGCACTGAATGGATAGCATGTGGGGGTCCTATGTGACGTCAAGGTGGGACATGACGTCATGGTGATAGCACTATGTCAAAGTGTCACGTCACCTAAAGGTGCACTCTAACGTCACAGTGCGAAGGCCCACTTGGTAACGCGACTTTACTGCACGTGGCCTCGTGACAAAATGTCAGCTCAGGTGCAGTAAGTGCCCCATGGCGTCCCGATGTAAGGTTACGTTATGGTGATACGTAACGCAATATCACGGTGTCTAGATATGGTCTAACCTCATGGCACGGTGTCACGTAGCGTTAGATAAAGTGCCGTCGCGGTGCCATGTCTAAGTGTTCGCTGACTTCACAGCTTCACTTGACCCAATAGTGTATATGACGTCACGATGTCGTGTGACGTCACAGTGGACACCAATAAAGGCTCTGTGCGAATTTTTCAAAGCTTGTCATCAATGAAGGCTACCAATGACTCGGCTATGGTTGCATGATGGTTGTCGTTGTAAACAATATTATTAGGGATTCTCCATCTCCCCGTCAAGCCTCACGTGCTAAGTATTGAAGCGCCCTGAATGCGTCTCAAGATAAAGAGATATTCCCAGTATACACTTACATCTTTTTTGTATTCTGCGTAAGTCTTGCTGATGTTCTGATGTGGGTACACGACGCCTGTGGTGTCCCCGAAAAGATTTGCCGCTCTGTCGATCACATCTCCCGCAGTCCACGTCAGAAGTGGCTCTTTTCCGGGATTGTGGAAGTAGCTGAGTTTGGAAAAGTCCCTGTCCCGAGACGGAGAGAAAATAGTTTTTCATCACAAAAGTGCACGCAAGAATTTGAAATACCTAATCAGCGTTCGTACCAAATAACTCCAACCAATGTTTTTTTTTTGTTTTTGTTTTTTTTGTACCGCAGGCTCACATTATGCTATTGCTGATTGGTTGCTGCTGCAGAACTGCATTACATTTCTGTCCAAAAGAAATGAATAATAAATTTTACATGTGGACCCGCAATATGCCCATACGAATTTTTATTAATATACACCTGCTCGCGTGTTTTAGAGCGCCGCTTTTAGGCGCCCGTTTCCGGCTTGAGCGGCGTCGGTGTCGGCGTCGGCGTCTGTGTCGCCGTCGGCGTAACTACGCGGTGAATTATGGGGCGAATGACGTCACTGACCACGTCATCAGGTACGTCATTAGCATCGTCATCGGAATCGTCACTGATGACGTCGTCAGTGACGTCACTGATGACGTCATCAACATCGTCACTAATAACGTCATCAGTGACGTTACTGCTGACGTCATCGGCATCGTCACTAATGACGTCATCAGTGACGTTACTGATGTCATCGGCATTCGCATTGTCATCACCATCGTCACTGATGTCATTACTGATGACGCCACTAGTGATGATGACATCATCGGCATCGTCACTGATGATATCATCAGTGACGTCATCGGCATCCGCATCGTCATCGTCAACGCCACTGACGACGTCATCAGTGACGTCACTGATGACGTCATCATCGGCATTGCCATCGTCACTGATGACGTTACTGGTGACGTCGCTAGTGATGATGACGTTAACAGTGACGTCACTGGTGGCGCCACTGATGACGTCATCGTCACGTGACATCATACGGGTCATGTGACCCCCGCGAAGTCACGTGACCCCGGTGTCCTCGCATGACCCACGTGAGGTCCCGTGACCCTCTTTAGGTGACGGCGACACCGCTCGGAGGAAGGAGTAGCGGAGAGGATGAGGAGGTGAGGAGGTGGCAAGAAGAATATACCTTCCCCTCGGTACCCTCCCCCTTCTCCTCCTCAAGAGCTGCGCTCTAATTCGGTGTTACTGAGAGTTGTAAACAGCTTTCATTTTTTTAGATCGCAGCTCTTAGGCTCCCGTTTCCGACTTGAGCGGCGTCGGCGTCGGCGTCGCCGTCGGCGTAACCGCGCGGTGCATTATGTGATGCGTGACGTCACTGATGACGTCATCAGTGACGTCATCGGCATCGGCATCGTCCCTGATGACATCATCAGTGATGTCACTGATGACGTAATCAGTGAAGTCACTGATGACGTCATCGCCATCGACATCGTCATCGTCTTTGAGGACGTCATCAGTGACGTCACTGATTACGTAATGGGCATCCGCATCGTCATCGTCATAGTGACTAATAATGTCATCGGCATTGGCATCGTCAGTGATGACGTCATCAGTGACGTCACGTGATCTCATTGGGATCACGTGACCCCCGTGAGGTCACGTTACTCCGGATACGTCACGTGACCCCCATGAGGTCACGTGACCCTCGTGAGACGACGACGACGACGCTTGGAGGGAGGACTAGCAGACAGGATGAGGAGGTGAGGAGGAGGAAGGAAGGATATACCGTCCCCTCAGTACCCTTTTCCTCCTCCTCCTCAAGGTCTGCGCTGTAATCCGCCGTTGCAGGCAGTTCTAAATGGCTTTCATTTTTTTGTCGTACTATCGCAGAAACATTAGAAAAAACATATTCTCTTCCAGGAACTAAGACATCCCTATTGGAAAGACCAGTTTGAAAATCTAACTGGTCAGTCTGGTATTCGGACTGGTCAAACTGGTATTTGGACTGGTCAGACTGGTCTAAAAGGAAATCAAACTGGTGCAACTGGTAGCCAGACTGGTATAACTGGTAACCATATTGATCTAACTGGTCACCAGATTGCCTTCTAACTTGTCACCAGATTGACCTGACTGGTCACCATATTGGCCTAACTGGTCACCAGATTGGCCGAACTGGTCACCAGACTGGCCGAACTGGTCCAACTGGTAACCAGATTGACCATACTGGTCACCAGATTTGCCTACCTGGTCAAACTGGTTACCAGTTTGACCCCTTATTTATTGTATTTCTCCCTTTGATTTATTGACTTTCAAATATTTACGGCATGATAGAGCGTTTACTTTTTACTAAGAGATTCATGCCCTGAGCCGTTCAATATAGTCTCAGAGGTATGAAATTGCTGAAAAAATTCAACATGCCGGGAATATGTTTTATTGCTTAGGCGGTCACCGAAAAATTCCGTACGTTCAAAACGACCAGTATAAAAGACGGAAACGCCAAGCTCGGAAGTATTCATCGTGTTAGTGTGCCGTTGTATTGATGTTTGTATGTTCTGTGTATGTGTATGCGCTCAATCTATATTCAGCCGATGCTTGTAGTAGGCGTATTGTGTCTACATTCGTGTATAATAAAGATTTCCGAAGCGGAGTGGTGGCGTAAGCAAATGAAAATCATTTTTGTCGAACCAGTGTGGCCAGTTCAATCACCATGACCAGTTCAACCATCATGACCAGTCAACCAGTGTGACAAGTTCAACCGCCATGGCCAGTCAACCAGTGTGACCAGTTCCAACCACCTTGACCAGTTCAACCATTATGAAACTGGTCAAACTGGAGCAATAACCAAGTCTGAAACTGGTACCAGTTTGAACTGGTCTTTCCAATAGGATATGTTTAACAGCAGGGAAAAAAAAAGCTGTAGTTTCAGTCATATATAGGCCACGTGTCGTCTTTCTCCCCTAATATTGCGAGGAAACCGAATTCATATAGAGATGTGACGTCAGGTTCATTCACACCACTTTTTCTGCTAAATGTAGCTAAAAATGTACGGAGGGACAGACAGACAAATATCTGGGATTCTGGGGCTCCGATAAAACCTGTCTTATGCTTACCATTCCTGTCATGAACGACATGAACACCTCGGTATTATAGTAATAGTCACTAAAAGAGAATATCGAGCGATTTAAGCAAAGTTTTCTCATAAGTGCTAATAGACAGCAATAGCCGCTCGAAGCGATCGTCCCCCGCTAGCATAGAATTAAACTAACGTTGCCACTAATTCCTAATAGCTCGCCATTTGTCGCTATTTTTAGCCCATCAGGTGAAAAATAGGTGACTACGTCATATAATAGCCACACCAGGCCAATCCAACTTGAATTGCTCGATATTGCGCAAATTGTCAATGTCGATCAGTTAGACATTTGTAGCCATTCCAAGTCAACCAACACAAAAAAAAAATAAATCCTTATAGTCAATATTAGCCAGTTGAAGTCGATAAAATATATAACCCACAATGCCCAGAATTGGCCAATAAGAGTGACGGGTAGCCCGGTTTATTCATTTGAAACCGGCCTGGCCAGAAAACGTCCACATTTCCAATAATAGCCTCTCGAAGTCAATCACACCCCCGAAACATAAATGCTACAAAATAGCAAAGTTGTTAAGAGCCGGGCATTTTAAGCTGATTTTGACAATAATAGACGTAAAGCGCTCATATTACTAATTTAAAGCCTATCACATTCATAAATCCCAAAGAGCATAAAAGTTCCATAATTGTCCCGATGGCCACTGAAAGACAGCGTGCTTTATAGATAGCTATCTGCCTCTACATTGTTACGAATATGAGTAATAGTGCTTTGGAACCATACATGAGCTCTACTATCACAATACTAATATACCTCTTCTTGAACCTCCTAACAGATCATCCCATCAAATCTTTAAGAGCAAAAGTTTCAAGCACCTAACCGGTAAAGTACACATAGCAGAGCGCGTTGAAAACGGCAGAATACACAGAAAGAATAAAACACATGAAGGACGAACACAGACCCTCACAGATCTTTCAACGAGCAACGAACATTTATGAAATGCCCATGACATTACGACCGAGAACTTCAAAGAATTGAAGAAAGTGAACGAAAAATTAAACGAAAATAAACAAAACGAAAATGCTCAAATTTAAAATAAAACTAAATTGCCAAAAAAAATTAAAATACCAAATTAAAACGATAGGACATTTATGGAAATTGACCCCTGAATAAAGGGGAAAAGGGAAGAAGCAAAAAGGAAATTAACCCCTGAATAAAGGGGAAAAGGAAGAAGAAAAGAAAGGAAATTAGTACCTGAAAACGAAAGTAAACCCTACTGAAAAAAACCATATGAATTTTCCATACGGGTCTTCATATAGCGTTATGGGATACGGGTCATACGGTTGGTACGGGTCATACGGTTGGTACGGGTCATACGGTTGGTACGGGTCATATGGTTCGTATGGGTCATATGGTTCATACGGTTGGTACGGGTCATATGGTTCGTACGGGTCATATGGTTCATACGGTTGGTACGGGTCATATGGTTGATACGGGTTGGTACGGTTTGTATGGTCCATATGGTTTGTATGGCCTATGGTTGTTATGGATGATATTGTTCATGCAGTTTAAATCGTTGATATGATCTATAGGCCAACGCACTATTTACCAACAAGCTTTCACGAGGTGTGAACAAATTCAGTTTCTACACGAGGTGCAAGCACTGCGTGTGCACAAGAACGACATTCACGTGACGTAAAGCGTCTGCACATGCGCCCTAACAGTAGCAGCGCCACCATAGCAACGTGAGGTCAGAGCCGCGTATTGGTGTATATCGATCGTATTAACCACATGGTTCACTCATCAGTGAAACATGAAGTTCAGCAGGAAAACACTTTCCTTTTAAAGCCTATGCAAGATAGCAGAAAGTGCATGCACAGAGAAATGCTCGAACTTCGAGAAATTGTGAACATGCATTCCACCCGCAGGCTCGTTTATTTGTCCTCCAGTCTCAGACTTTGAAGTAGCTCGTGCATGCTAATGAGGCAATTCTTTGAGGCGAGCTGCATCTGCTTTCCCAGTTGGTCACGGGCTGACGCACCTCCGACGGGCATCTGAAAGTAATGTAAACAAAACCGACAGTCACATTACAT